TGCACTTACAGTGGAAAGGAACACTCACTGAAGCAGCTCTATCCATTCTTGCTGGAAAGGGTCAGGCACTATGGGAAGAAAAAAAACAACCTCCAAACCCAGAGAAAGGACAATTAGCGGTAGTCTCTATGCCACCAAAATCTACCATTGACTTTGGGACACTTCCTTGGGTTTGTCCTAATTTAAGGTTTGGTGGCAAAAGTATTTCTGCAGGCTGCCTTGTTGCACTAGAGCCTAAACCCATGGAAGAGGCAAGGTAGAAGTGAGAGTTATACCAACTTTTGGAAAAGGTTTACAAATGGCCACCTGGTACACTGCCAACTCCCTCGGGGTGCAGAAGAAGGAGGCACTATCCTGCTAGGAAGGATAATGTCATTCTTATTTATGTGCTTCTGGAGTCTGCTGATGGGACCAGGAGTACTGTGAGGAGCTGTACAGGGAGGCTGGCAATGTGGTGGACATCACCCGAGGTTGTCCTTGTTCTGGAGGATGCCATCCATCAGGTGTCCCTGGAACAAAGAAAGCAGCAGGCAAACGGGGCTGGTTCTTTCAAGCTAGTGTGGAATTGCAAGGGTACCACAAGCATGAGGTGCCCTGCCAAGAGAGCTGCATTGTTGTGCTGGCTTCTTTCCAAAACAGAGCTTAATCTTTGGCTTACCTTCTCAATTTGTTCATTCTCCTTTTTTCCTACCTTCATTTTCCATTTTTAAACCTTGTGGATCAGCATAGTGTACACTACAGAACACCTAGTTCTACAGCAGCATGCAAAAGAAGGCATACCATCACGTGCCTTAAAATACATATTTCTGCAGTATATATATTGTGACTTGATATCATCTCATGCCAGTGCAGTGCTAAGAATCAATTGAATCTGTGAGCCAAATATGTGATTTAAGATCTCACAATTGTTTGGGATTTGCCACAAGAGCAATACTGTTCAAGCCCATGGGGTGCCCACACCCCAGCTCTGGAGAAGTAGCACACAGCAATCAGGGTCAACAGAGGGCCAGGAGTTAATGCTGTGTCAGGGAGGCGTGAACTGGATGTATGAAAGCTGGAGGTGTGGCTGTGAAAAATGCCTTTACAGGGAAAAGAACAGTGTGCAAACATGTGGGGGAGGGAGGAAGTGAAAGTCCTCAAAGCAGAGAAAGGGTAAATGAGCAAAACACCACTTGTGAGGCCCCCAAGTTGGATAGGCACTGCTGCACGACGTTTTCCATTGAACAGCACTAACTACCAGGATTACAGCCTGGCTGGGGCTCTGCCTGCATCCATGTCATCCTGTCCCTAATACTCAGCAATGCTGACTCTGATCTACCATTGCATCAGCCTTGACTATTCTTTCAAAGGCTATTGGGTTCAAAGCCAATCTCTCCCATTCTGTATTTGTGTCAATACTGGTCTGCATCCACAAAATCTAGTGAGCAGCTCGCTGTCACTTGCAGGCCCAGGGCATCTCCTTCCCTTTCCTTCACTTCTTTAGACGTGACAAGGGGTCGTGTGGGGCACCACATAAAGCCCCTCAACAGGAGGCACACGGTACCAGCATGCTCCTCCCTGCGAGCAAGGGCCAAGGGCAGCCCTTGGCCACAAGCCAACATTTAGCCAGTTGAGATGACGTTTGATGTGACACTGGGTCAATAGTGAGCACAGGAGCAAAGGAACAGGAAAAATACACCACAGTAAGTGCAGCAAGGAACGGCAGTGGGAGGACCTGGCAGATGCACAGGGGCTGATTCAGAAGGGAGATGCAGCCCCACCCAGGCTGTTGTGAGCAAACTTGCCCTGCACCTCACGACAACTGCTTTCAAAATGGGTTTAATAACACATGCCAAAATGCCACCTGGCTCCCAGCAGGGAACTGTGGTGTGGACACCAGTCACACCAGGGTGAGACAGCTCAAACTGACCTGCAACAAAATCCAAGTGCCAACAAATTGCTATTGAGCAGAACAGGCATTTTGACCTAATGGCAGAAATTGCACCGCTCTGAGGGCACAGGAAATGATGGAGGGGTGGAATCCAAGGGGATGAGAAATAAGCATGAGAATAACAATCATGACTGTTTAAAAAAAAACCCAAGAAACTAAGAAACAATTCTACCTCACAGCACTGGTCCTTCCAGTTTCCTTTGCTGCTTCCCTTCTCAGTAGTCCATCATTTTGGGGTTTATTTGATCATAATATTCAAGCTTGGGCTTAAATTGAAGTCTTGTTTCTCATCAGTTGCCTCATCGTGAGAAGATAACGTCTTTCTTTTTTTAAATTTTGACTATTTTTAGGGGCTACGTAAGGGCTAAAATGCCTTATCCTTAAGGAGCTGTGTTTTCTATGCATATGGTGCTTCCATAGATTTCAGTGAATTGTAATTTTGTTAGGTTTGGCTTGGGGTAATAAACACCTTGCATTTTGTCTACCCTTAAGTCCTGAGAAATGTTCTTGTTTTTCACTCTATTTTAATGCAGAGTACTTGGTAATATCTGTGGGGTTTGGGAGGTGTTTTTAAATTAGAAAACAACAATTAAACAAGAAGCACACAGAAAAGTGCTGCAGTGTATTTCTAGTAATTTTAAGATGCAACATTTCAGTCTAACGTTTCCACTTATTTTACTTTTTTTTTTAATTTTACATTTTAACTTCTGTTTATACTTTTTTTCATACACTCCGGCTTGTTTCACCTCATGTGGGAGCAACACAGAGGAGAGGAATTCCACAAGCCAGATAAACTGTAATTACCACAGGTTCATTTTGTCAGAGCTATGCAAAGCGTGGCGCGCACAGGCCCGCCGTGCCTCTCTAACAGCTCATTGCATCTACCCCATGTGTCCTTGCTAACCTGCACCTGTGCATGGAAATACCCCCTTTGGTGTGACAAATAAGTTTCAGGCAGTGAATCAATTTTTAAAAAATTATCTACAGTGAGCGGGAAGTTTTCCTTGTTATCTGAGTAGTAGAGATCTCAGCTTTGGGCACTTATATTCTTCTTTCACTGTGGTGTTTATTTATTTATTTATTTCTAACAGTCTCTTTGGGGATCACAATTGCAAAGCCATGATTTGGGCAATACAGGGACCAATGATGTGACCAGGACCTACAGCACAAAGTGACAGAAGACAGAGCAGAAAGAAAAACAGTCACAGTCCCCTGTCCTGCAAGATCTGTCCCTTGTTCTTGTAAAAGCAGAAAAAGCTTCCAAGACCAGCCAGAGCTCAGCATGTACTCGGGAGATCCACTTTATTTGAAATTCTTGTCTAGCCAGATGTATAGCAATGCCATAGTATGGGAACGTGACCCTTGAAAAACCCTCTCCAGTTTCACATATAAGGCCAAGAGTCCTTAAAAATAGCATCAGCCAGGACAGAAGCTACTTTTTCACTTATCAATCTCCTCCCTGATGAAAGCAAAACTTCATTCTGAAAGCCACCTGCTTGCAAGCCCAGGACACAAAATGCCTCCCCCTTCACACCACCCCACAAGCCCATGGACATAGACACTTTGAGTGGTTTTTTTAATAGTTGCTTATTTCCATGAAGTTCAGAACCCAGTGACAAGATCATTGTAAGGCAGTGTGGATTGCACCGTCCTGGTATAAGAATTTTCAGTGCTATCAGTTTAATGTGGAAGACATAGTTGCAAACAGGAATATTAGGAAGATTTTTTTAAAGGAGAATGTTAGGAAATTAATTTTTTTTTTTTTTATTTCAGGCTTATGTTTGACTATCTTAGATATAGTGACATCCAGACCAAGTGTCAGAAATCTACTATACAGCTCCCTCATAACTGCTGTCATGCCCTAGGCAAGATAATGGTCTAAAACCTTCACTGTATTCTTTAGGGATTTTTTTATTGTTGTTGTATTTTCCCCTCTTAAGAGGAGATTCCTCTACAATCATTCACCCTCAGCTCTGCAAAACATCAAGCCAACACCTTATAGTTCCTCAGGCACATTATGTTTACTGTTTTGCCCCAGACACAGAAGTGTTCAAGACTCCAGGTTTGGTAGGCACATTATGTTTGCTGTTTTGCCCCAGACACAGAAGTGTTCAAGACTCCAGGTTTGGAATCTCCAACAATCACTCAATGAGTGGCAGAATGTCATCTCTAAGCAGAGATGCTGCCTGCATTTCACCTTTTCCTAACAGGTGCATAAACTGAGCGGGCACAAACATCCAGCCTCCCTTTGGCTGAATCCGAGGAAGAGGTCCATGGAAAACAGAAAATAAAGAGCTCATTTATGCCTCCTTACAGGGCCTGCCTACATCTGTAGTCACGCCAGTCAGTAACTCAAATCACATGTGCAAGTGGATACAGCCTGTAAACTTCCTCTACGATCCTTGCAAAACGTGTCCAAACCAGAGCTACTGCACTTTAAACTTGAATAAAATTCTTCTCATCGCAGGCTGTTTCCTCTGCTTCACTTAACCCTTCAAGCCTACCCACGGGCCTCCGGTGTGAGCTGCAGCCGGAGCAGAATCCCTCCTCTGCACCGCCTTCCCGAGAGCCTCTCCGAGCCATTTATCCGGATGCCAGCGAGCAGGAGCACCGCTATTTTTAGGCCGCGCCCGTACGCTGAGCACGGAGGAATGTGGCTGGGAGCGGGAGGCAGCCCGAGGCCGGCGCTGCGGCCCCGCCAGCCGCGGCTCCACCCGGGCTGCGCTCCCGGGAGCCGGGCGGGGCAAGGCCGCCTGTCCTGGCTGATCCCGGTGCGCGCCAGGACCGGACCCCGCCCAGCGCGGGACTCCGCCGCGCCCCTGCCCGCAGCAGCGCAGGGAGGTCCCGAGGGTCCCGAGGCCGGGCTTGGCAGCCTCAGCCACCCAGTCCGGCTGCTGGCGGTGGAACCCCGCAGGGTCCTCCGCCGCCGGGACGCGAACCCGCGACCCCGTAAGCGCCGCGGCCTCCCGGCCCCGCACCCGCGGGTCCCGCTGCCCCCCCACGCCGGCGTTATGTAACGGCCGCGCGCCGCCATTGGCCAGCGCCGCCCGAGGCGCGCGGGCGCGGGGGCGGGTCCGGCGCGCGCGCACTGCCGGTCCCGGTCCCTCCTCCTCCTCCTCGTTCTCCTCCCGAGCGGCGGCGGCGGCGGGGCCGCGCGGAGCCTCCACAGCGCTCGGCAGGGCCGCCCAGCCCGGATCCCGCACGGGTGAGCAGCGCCGGGCAAGCGGAGCCGAGGGGAGCGGGGTGGGGCGGGGCGGAGAAAGGGGAGCAGTCCTGGCCCGGGGGAATGGGGACGGCCCGGCCCGGCAGCGGGGCCCGCTCCGCTTGTGGGCCGCCGCTCCCCGGCTGCGGCCTCCGTCCGTGTGTCTGTCTTTCCGTGGTCCGTTCCCTCCCGCAGTGCACGTGGTGGGGCTGCGGCCGCCCCTGCCCCGCCGGGCCCGCCCGAGGGCCGCAGGCCGGGCCGGGGGTCCCTCGCGGAGCGGCCGGCCGAGCCCCTCGCTCCCGGGCGGGGAGGCCGCGGGGCCTCGGGCTGCTCCGTGCCTCTGGAAGCGACAGCGGAAGCAGCTGTCGGTGTCCGGTTTTAGGACTTGAAACTCCGCTCGGATTCTGGTTACTTACAAGGAAATGACCCCGTGTGAGGTATGGCTGTGCTGCGGGTTTCAGCCCCGCTTCCCGACAGTGCCCGTGCTGCTGCTGTTATGATTTGGCAGCAAAAAATCCTGTTAGGATTTGGCAGCAGATTTTTTTTCCGTGTGTTCTGTTTCCTACGTGCTCGCGCGTTCTTTATTTGGACACAGCAGGCTGGTCTGCTGGACTCTGTGAGGGCGTGCCTGATAGGGAAAACAACACTTACCTGCCTTGTGCAATTGAAATTAGTGATTTGGCTTTGTAGATGAACTCACCGCTCTTTTAAACGAGCTTTGGGACTTTTTTTTTGTCACTTTCTTGGAATAATAATAGTCTAAACGTTATTTTTCTCTGTTTCAGAAACACTTTGTTTCAGCTGTATTAATGTAACGTGCAGTATTTAAACTCGGATTTCTGGTCTTGGACACTGTGTGGTGGTTGATATTTTTGAGCAAATGTTTGTAAAGGTCATGTTTTCATGTCTGTGACTTAACTAAAACCAGCAGTTGCCAAGTACCTAAAACGTCCGTGTGGTTGGCTGTTGTAATGTAGTACTTATCAAAGCACTAAAATACAAAGTAATGTGCAAGCGCTTTGTGAAAAGAATTCTTTTTTTGTTACATCTGAGTATTTTCTGTCGGGAACCGTCGGACTCCTGGACGATTGCTGTAATGGTGGTAAAATAGAAGTGAAATAAAACCTACTGTTCCTTCTTGTGTATGCAAAGCTATTGGCAATATATATATTTTTTTTTTAAATTTTAAGTGGGAATCCAGTGTTCTGATTGAGCCATGCTGTATATAAACAGCATGAGGCCCTGTCTGGGATGTTCTGAAGCAGTTGTGGCATCCAGTGAAACATAGACTTGGCACTGACATTGAGTGTTGTATCTTACAGAGGCTGTTGGATGCCACATGCATTTCTGTCTGTTTGTAAATGGAATTTGTGTTGTGTTCAATTTTATTAGCTGTATGGACTTCTGAATTCTCTTTTAGAATTCTGAAGTGGTGGGGGAAGAGGAGGGAACACTGAAGATGTAGTCTAATACTTCTGCAGAGGGTTACATGGTGGTGTTTGTTGCCATGAAAGAGCCGGGCTGTGGCCTCAGAGGTGTCTCTGAATCCACAAGAGCTGTTCTGGGTCTCGGGGCCATTGTTTTGCTCACATATTAGGCACACGTCCAAAAATTCCCACAATACTAGTGAATTTTCACATGTTGTTGATGTTTCATAGAAACTTAATTTTTGTAATGGTTTTTAAGGGCTTTTCATGCATATTTGCTAGAGGTCGGTCACTGCTTGGATGGGATTTTCTCTCACCTTGGGAGGCCGCCTGTCCTGATGGGAGGGATTGCATGACAGGCGTGCTGTAGCCATGAATGTGTCTGTCCCACAGGCACCAAACCTGGGGCAAGTGCCCAGGATACCCAGAGGGGCAGTGGCCAAGCAGCTGCCCTCCTGGGAACACAAGACTACTAATTGTCCTGAGAACAGTGGGCTTGGAGAGCTGTCCTGTGCTTGGGCAGTGTTGTGCTTCTGGGAGCTGCACAACTGAACCGTGCGTGGGCCGTGAAGGACTGGAGAGACACAATAGCAGAAATTGGGCTGCTGGGTTATATAACCACATGCTGAATCCTGTTCTGTTGGTGTGCCCAAATCCTGTCTGGTGTCTGCTCTGGGCGTGGGGTGAAGAATGAATTGGGTGTCCTGGTGGCTGCGTGCAGGTGGAGTGCACTGCTGTGGAATGTGATGCTCCCTGAATTGTGACACTTTTGTCTCGTTTTGTCTTCTGGTGGACCTTGTAATGGTATACGGCAGTAGCATTTACTTCCTTTGTGCTCCTATGTTACTTGCAGTAATGGCTTCTGATGGGGGCAGTCTTTTTTTTTTTTTTTCCAAGAAATCATATGCACATAAATGTGGCTGAAAACAAAAACACAATAGCCACCTGTAAAAATCACTTTCCATAAAGAGGAGTGACCTATTGTTCTTGGTGTTCCCAACTTCAAAGCAGCTCACAAGCACCTAAAACAGAAGACAATAACACATCTTGGGTAATACTTTGATTTGTCTTTCTTGAAACTTCTTTCAAGTTCCAGAGATAAAGGTTGAATCTTAATCTTTAATTTAAAAAAAAAATTACAAGCAACAAAACCCCTGAATTTTTCAGTACCTTTTGAAAAAGAGAGTAAGCTTCTATTAACTGTAAAGGAAACTATTCATTATTCTGACTCTTGAAAACACTTTACAGAAGTAGAGCTTGAATCTTAGTAGAGGAAGACACCTTAGAATGGCCTAGTAATTCTGGTGTTTATTTTAAGCATGACACTGAACCCAGAGGCTTTACATAGCAAAGAGCTCGAACAGATGTCTGTGTGTTTGAGTTATGGGAGTTGTAGGCCTTGTGGACCGAGCATACGACTGCATTGTGCTCATGGTTACAGCTCCTCAGTCAGATAGCAGCAGCAGTTTCTCATGTTTGTAGACTAAATGTCTTCTTTTTGTTTGTAGATATGGCTCGTGGACAGCAGAAGATTCAGTCGCAGCAGAAAAATGCCAAAAAGCAAGCTGAGCAAAAAAAGAAACAAGGACATGATCAGAAGGCTGCAGCCAAGGCTGCCTTGATATATACCTGCACTGTCTGTAGGGTAAGAGGAACTGAAGTCAAAATAGTCTTGTAGGGAGAGGTCTGTCTTCCTGCCTAGAACAGGATTTTTAGAAGATTTTATAATGGAAACTAAAATACTTAAGTGGTTGTCTAGCTTGTTGCTGTAAGAAGAGTGTTCATCTGTTATGTGACTTGCTTACAGATTACTCAGCCATAGTGGCATTTGAGATAGAAAATCTGAGAGGTCGTGTTCAGGTCTGGTTTGGGTAGTTATTTTGCCTTTTGCATTACAGTGGTCTGCATATGCTCTTAGTATGAGATAGAACATGTAAAAAGTGTGTTGTCAATTCTTGTTTAGTCTCGACATGGAAACATATTTTGTGATGGAATTGGCCCGTCTTGGAATCAGTGGTTATGGATGTTGCTGTAGAAAGGAGAAGCTGTGTGCCAAAAGCTTTAATGTAAGCTTGATACACAGTAACTTTTGCTAGAATAACTTACTTGACAAGAAAAAAGAAATTTGAGTGCTGATCAGATTGTCCTTTTCCTTCTGGCTGGTTTTCCTAAATGCTTCTTTTGGAGCTGAAGGAGGTACTTGCCATTTTCACTTCAATAGTCAGTCTCAGAATAGATCTCCCACTTCAAATGTCTTAAATAGGATTCCAAATTGAGGGTTGCTTACTTAAGTACTTGTAACCAGCTCCTCTTGTTGTGAAATCAGGCTGTAGTATCAATCACTTTGGGCAGTTGATGCCTGCAACTGAGTCGTAGCAAAGGTCTGAGATAGCTTGTGCCAAGTGGAGACTCGGTTCATGCCATATAAGTTCTTGGCTTACTGGTAAAATAAAGAAAGGGCTGTCATAAAGATTTGATTCTGTAAAGGATAAGTGTTTATGTTTAAGGTGTTGAAAAAGAAAATGGTGAGGAGGGAGGTTTTCCACCAAACCAGCCTGTGGAAGTGCAAGATGTGCAGGAAGATACCTAGCCAGAATAACACCATTGATGACCATGCCAAAGCAAGTGTGATAGTAGTGCTTAAAAGCACCTCTGAAAATTGGCAGTTAAATACTCCATCTTACCCTGCAGCTAAATTAGTGGTGCTCTGTCACTATAGCAATGTCATCAAGGAGGGAGTTGGCTTCTGGGGAAAGAAAATAAAATATAGTGGGGATTAGGTTTTGTAGTATTACTTAACTCTTGTACTGTGCATAAAGTTTAATGTCTCTCTTTAATCAGACTCAAATGCCGGATCCCAAGACCTTCAAACAGCACTTTGAAAGCAAGCATCCTAAGACTCCACTTCCTCCAGAATTGGCTGATGTTCAGGCATAAAGTTGTCTACAGGTCATTACCATAATTTTTAATTGATTGTCTGAGAAAGGTATATTAAAATTGGTTTTTTTTACCACCAACAACTGTGACTTAAAACTTGCTTCAGTTCTTTTAATATGAAAACTACTGTAAGTTATAGTTATACCCCTGAACTGTTAAAAATAGAAGAAAGAAGCAAGCTAGTTCTTACATGGGTGAAATGGCTGTGGCATTTCACTGTGCCCGGAGGTTGTTTTAAGAGGGATTAATGTTATTTCAAATGGTCATTCTTAGTGTTGTAGGAATACTTCATTATTTAGTTCTTGCTTTGAAATGTTAGTTTTGCTTTGAACAAAATACATCAGTACAATCTGTCTGTTACTATAAAACATGTAATGTAAACAGTTGTTTAGTATATTTCCAACAATGGAGCCTTTTTGTTCCTGAAGTGAATGCAGAAAAATCTGACTTTCTGTGTTGGCTGTAGAGGAGATTTCCCAGTAGGCAGTTGTTAGGCTGTAACTGAAAGTGGTTATAATAAAAGGCTGAAATAAGGTAAAAAGCAGTACTATGGTATTTCATTCATAAGCAGCATTGTGTAATGGTTCAGCTTAACTGAGTTGTTCTTGTTTTTTATAGGTGAAGTCATGACACCTATTGACTCTTCTACTGTCAGACCTTACATAACAAACCTGCAGCTGCTTTTCTAAAACTGTTGATCAGCAAAAATGAAGGGGCTACAGAAACATTCATATTTTTATGCTGTTCCCTCTTGGGCTTCATGCAAAGACAATTCTGTGTAAATGTACAGTTGTGCCCTATTTGGAAATCCTAAAAAATCAGTCCATACTTGTTATAAAAAATTTTTTACAATTGTAATTATATTGATGTTCATATTGTGTAAAATAACTCACTTAATAAAGTAGTACTTTGATTTTACAATATCACAGATTAACTCCTTGTAGAAATTCTGTTTCACCTTTCTGCATTATCTGCCTTATAAAATAATAAAATATACGAAAGTGGAATTTTCCCCATCCTGCCAAAACATGAGCAGTATCATTCCACTGCAAGTAATGTACATTACAGTAAATTAATCTTAAAGTGGAGAGGGAAGCTGCTCAGATTTACTGTCCAGTGTGCTGCCTGCTTGAGCCCAGCCACTAGTGGTCAAGCTGATGGCTCAAGGTGCAACACACCCCTGAGCAGCTGCATGAGAATCATGAGACTTCCTTCTACATTTTTGTCCTGTGTACTGGAGTCTTAAGTACTGCAAGCCATTTCGAATGGGATTCCTTTACTGTGAGGGATCATGTTCCTTGAAGTCATGCACTGGAGGAACTCTGGTTATGCTTGTTATCCTTTCTATTTAGGTAGATGACTGAGGAAGCTTGAGAGGTGGCAGGATTTAAATGCTGGCTTGAAAAATGCTTGCCAAATACTAGGTTAAAGCAACTCTGCTCTTAGTTGAAAACCGAATTTTAAAATATTTTTAATGATATTTTGAGCAGTCAGCCACACATGTTCCCCCTCAAATGTGTCTGGTTATTTCTCTCTTGAAGGAATATGTAAAATAGCCAGCCATTAATAACCTTCCTTCACAACCAGCTTAAAATAAGCCTGTTGGAAAAGAGCTAAAGTAACTAAAATAATATGGCTACTTAAAGAAATCGGATGTGATTAAAGTTGCAATGACAAGAAAAAGCTGGATAATAACTCTGGTCAAGACCATTTGAGCAGATAAACATAATTACCCCTAAAGTGTTCTGGGCTGCATTCTAATCCCAGATGTACAGCACAAAAGTAGTGGAGAAATATCTGAATTGTGCTGGAAAGGTCTACTATACAAAATCCCATCTTAGGCATTTTGGAGGGGGCTTAGGAGCTTTAGTTTTGACCCTGCAGTTAGAAGCAGCGATGTGCGGAGTTTACAATGGATGTAAAAATTCCAGCAGTCCAAGCAATCCTTGCTATGCAGCAGGACTACACATGTGACCTTCAAATGGCTTCCTAAAATCTAGGACCATAGTCTCAACGACTCATTCACTTAAAAGAATGCACTTGGTATTTTATTATATAAAGTCAAAACCTTTGTCTTTGTCCACTCATTTGCTCTTTATTGAACTACTTCTGTGAGACTAGCTTCCTGTCCTCTTTGCTGTGACAGTATCTCTGTAAATACTTACTTTGGCATAAAGTTTCTCTGTATTATAGTCACTCTGGGATAACCTGTATACCACTTAACTTTTATAGATAATGTTATTCTCCTCAGCGTAATCCACTACTGCACTTGTACACCTGACATCAGAATGTAACAATTCATTTCTTTTTCTTTAATGTTATCAATACATACATCCTAACAGACTGGCTCCACAAGGCAAGAAATCTGCTTTCAACCTGTGTGCTGTATGGGGGAGAGGTTCTTCAATGTTCTAATGCTGTAGTTTGTCTAAAAATATGCTGAGTAGAAATGGAAAAGATGTTTCTTGCACTGATTGGTATTTGATAATCTGGTTTTACTCTGGAAAATGTTTGGGGATGCATCCCTAAAGCTTGGCCTGAGGTGAAGTAAATGTTCTATTCCTTCAATTCAGATTGTGTAGCATTAAATAAAAGACTTGTTTCATAAACAATCTTTGTTATGAGCACTGAAGAGCTGGAAAGCTGCATCATTAGTGGGATGGTTACCTTCAGTTAGAATGGTATTTTCAAAATTCTTAGGACGCTCAAGTTGAAAATGCCCTCTGAAATGATGGAATTTACATGTTGGAAAGCAAGGGTGATCCTCAGTTCAGTAAGATCCCCAGCTACAATAACTGTCATCTTAATTACAGAAGTAAATGAAAGCTGTGACTGAATTGGTATAAAGGCTGTACTAAATGTGGCAATGGCCCTCAGTCAGAATACCTGCAGTACCTGTACCTAAAAGATCAGAGGAAGGACTGACTAGTTCTCCATCATCTCTTCCTGATCTAAAAGACAACATACCCTAGTACCTGGCTGAAGACACAGTTGTGCATTGTAATGTGTCTGATTAAAGAGAATTAAAAATATAAACCATAAAATGTCATATTTCCTGCCTGCTTTTGCTGTACCTAGAAAATTAATTTCCTGACTGTGGACAGTCGTGTAACTTTAAGCTGTCTAACTGTGCAAGAAAGAAAAATAGACATGGAATGTTTCCTGTATTCCCTTGAGAAAGATTAATTTCTGTGCAGGGTCAGCTTGTGGAGCAACTTGAACAGGGGTTTTGGATTTTCAGAAACCTTCATCTTCTGGGAATCTCTTTAAGCAGCATCTGAAATTGCATTTTAAATGAGGCTTAAAATATTCTGAAAAAAGTCTCACCTTAGAGAGTAAAAAGTTAGCAGGTATGGTTATGGTGAGGCCATCATCATGGGGACTACTGAGTAATCAAGAACAGTTTTGCAATTTTTGTTACTCAGGCTTATTTCTGTGCCTCTGCTTTACCTATCTCAGGGCTTCTAGTTTCTTACTGTCAAAAAGCTGTGTGAAAAATCCAAGATAGAAGTTGAAGACAGTTGCCGTGTAGCCTTAGGAAAGCAGTTTATGCAGTGCTCTTGAAACATCCCTGGACACCATCCCCTGTGGTTATTTGCTGAAAGCACTTCTGCTCAAGTAAGTAAAGCCAGTGACCACGGGCTGTTTGCAATCCACATAGCAATGAAGGAATTTGTGGCATTTCTATAAACTGTACTGATTTGTTTTCCCATCTTGGTAAGAAGTGCTAATAGGTGGGATGTCTTTTATCATCAGGTACTGATAGGCTTTCCCATTTTCACAGAAACAAGTTGGGAGTTAGTGGGCTTTACTGGAAGTGTGATCTTCCAGGGTCTGACAAGTAAATTTGATTAGTCCTATAGAAGTCACAAGCAAAGTAAAGGTCAGTTTGTGTTTCTGTCTACCCAGTCACCTTCTGCTGTGTGTAATTTGGGGGCCTTTGATTTGCCTGTTTAGAACCTCATAGGTTTTGGAGTGGACTTTGAATTCAATTCCAAATCTCACTTTGTGCTGGTGTTCAGTGTGTGCTTTTGCTCTAGTCCAGACAGTGGGAGGGTGTCAAGTGCTGTCTGGAATTTTTCTGTATGTTTTTAAAATTATTTTGAAATCTTTTAATACATTTTCTATTGTGTTATAGGTGTTGTATAGATAAGGCACAACAGAGGCTCACTGAGGGAGTTGAGTTATCTTGGGAGCTTTTAAAGAAAAGTAGATTAGGTTATATGTATGTTTTATAAGTCTCTTATGTAGTGTTTCATGCTGGGGTTTCTGGGAAAGGAGGAATCTATAGTTGTCCCAACATAGTTATCTAACTGTTCAAGCTGTGTCTCAGCTTTTTTAGGACATATGGCACAGCTTTCCCCTGAGAACTACTGTCCATTAAATATATAAAGCCAAGGTCCATGCAGCACTTTGATGTTATGGCACACATATTTTTGTGTTCCTTCTTTGTAGCTGTGACAAATCAGCGTGCAGAGCATAACTGAAGGCTGGAGCTCTTTCAGAGGACTACAGATTAAGGGAAATCTCAGGAATATATGTAGTCCATCTCCCTACTCTGAGATTTGATAAAATCTGCCCAGACAAACTACCAAGTGTTCCTCTGAGCCGTAAAAGCTTCCAGTGAAAGGGATCCCACAATCCCAGACCTTGTAAGCAGCATGTGTCACTGCTGTAACCACTGCTGAAGTGGACAGTTATCACAGCAATTTATCCCTGCCAGTTAAGTCAATTGCTTACTGTTCTTATTGGCAGTAGATGTGATGAATAGTGCCTTTATTTGAACATTGCTACTGTGTTCTCCTAGTCTTCAGAGTAAGCCCAGTTAATTGAATCACTCTTCATAGGTCACGTTTTCTAAGTCTGGCAATTGTTGGTGCTCTGGATCCTCTACAGTTTGTGCTCTTGAATCATATGGTCCAAGATGTGACCCAAAGTGCTGGCTGAGGCTAGTGCAGAGTAGCTGGAACAACTAAGGTCTGGCACTTGCATACACTGGAATTATATTAGGCTTTCTGCAAAAACATCACAGATTCATTTTGGTGCCACTAATAATTTCCACTTTGTACCTCTGTTTAGTGTCCACATACCTGCCTCTCAGGGATCTCAGACCAAACTGTTCACCAAGTTCATCCAGGCGTGGGGACCAAACTGTTCATGCAGATGTCCTCTTTCACTCTTTAGTCTGTATTGTTAATGAACACACTGATGGGACACATTGCAGGCAAAGCCTTGCAGGACCTCGCTTGAGTATCTCGCTAGACTCCAGTAAGCCTTTGGTAATTCTTGAGAGCACTTTGTACTTCTGTAATTCTCTTTGTGGTCAGTATGGATTGGAGCCCCTTACCTGTGAGGACTTTGCAAACTGACTATGTTAAAGGCATTTACAACAACAGGGAGATTTGGATCTTGTGTGCCTGTGGCCACCAGGCCAGTTTTCACAAAGAAATGAAAGGCAGTGAGGTATGGCATAGTTTGTTCCTGAAAAATCCATATTGTCTAGCTGTTGCTTGGTTACTTCTTCATATGCATTTACAAAGG